TTGACTGTACGTTTATCATGCCGGTTAGTTCCCCTTAGTCCTCATACACACACGCAAAACAAGTTCATCCTAAAGAGGAGTAGTAACATAGGTCCAGTTATTGGACTGTTTCTATTGAAGTTGCATTACAATATAATTAGGTGATATTATTTTGTATGGCTACTAGTATTAACAGTCTCGGCATTGACATAATACATCCATCGGCAGTTTCCCAGTCGTGGTAATCCTCGAAGTAAAATCAGACACAGAATTTGGTGACAACGCGGAAATGAAGGCCAGCCATGATGAGCTCCGGGTTCAAATATGTATTACTAGAATAGCATAAATCCACCTTCACACTGCTACTTGACACAGAGCGGACAGGAGCTTCAGCGTTGAACCAAATCAGTATCAACTAGAGAGACGCGAGTTCGAAACTCGAGTGTGGCGGCAATTTCCGCCGCTACACTGGAGTTGACCTACTATCGCCTGATGAGGCCCAAATAGGCCGAAAAGCTTCGCGATATGGTCTGTGTTGTCGGTAAAATACCATTGTTACTAATAGTTAGCGAGTTACATATACGATTGGGGTTCCAATTAGCTCGCTTTCATACAATGATGCAGGGTGGGTACATCCTGAAACAGATTGGAGGAGAATAACCTAATAACAACTCAAGTTAATCAACAAACAGATAATCTCCTTTTGACTGGTTTTTCTGTCTGATGCAGTTCTTTGGATCGAGCTCTTGATGTCACATTTAACAAAAAACAGAATTATGTGCCCGCACTTGTCGCGACCTCTGCCAGTGTCATGTTTTCCACTTGTCGTTGAAAGTTGTAAACCACATTAGAATGATTGGGTGACAAAAAATTACTGTGCGACCTTTATAATTGGCAAAAAACTAGTTTACGACCATACGACCACGCACATTGGATACGCAGGTGTATAATATGGAAACTGTGGAAAGGGATTAAGATCGGCATGCGTTACACACCAGTTTTCGCCTGATCGGCATACCTAGTTTATCATGTGTGTACGTTTGATAAATAAGAAAGTTGAATGCGGCTTTGACTGAATAAGAAGTATCCCGAATTTCCTGTGGGCTTCCTCTTCATACCTTTCAGGAATGAATATTTTTTAAGCTGTCCATCAGAAGAAAAGTAACTGATATTGGTAACAAAAAAGCAAGAAAATATGCAAACATTTGCCTCATTTTGGACAGACGTTCCATCAAAAGACATTTCATGGGATCATACTAGTGAGCTTCTGCGCTTGCCATGACCACCGGACTGAGTCAGTTTTTCTCCCTATTGCTTCAAACTTCATCGCAGTAGTGACGAGATTCTCTGATAAGCGCATCTCGCAGCCACGTACGCAGGGATTTAGGAACATGCGATGAGCGTCAAATGGCACGACACAGTCTGGCTATGGGTTATGTTAACGCAGCGGCAGCGTAATTCTAGTAGTGGACATCTGGTGTTACTGCAGCGAAACATAGAAAACCCTCTTAATTACCTCGAAGTTGTCAGTAGTTAGTCATAGGCCAGTGTCGAAAAAAAGCCAACTCTGTTGGGGAGAAAGGGCCTACTGTCCGACCAGGACATTGCATGTAAGAAAGTCAGAGTGAGTAAAAGCTTGTATAGGGATTTACACTACGGTAGGATAAGGAAGCGAAAACTACGACTCGCGTGGGACGTTAAAGGGGTAAACGAGGTCAGATGTGGCATACTGGCTAGAAGAGGAATAGTGATTTAGTGGTGAGGTAAGGGGGTGATGGGGAAACTTTTCAGCGCTTCGTGCACGGACTACGTCCTGGAGATATCATTCATCTTTTGAGTGTCCTAGAAACTTAGTTTTCAAAATAAGTACATTTTTGTCATTGGCGCCTTGGCCCTTGGAAGACATTAATGACAGTTTCTGCGTCGAATTAATCTTAAAAATGGGTAGGAAAAACTGTTCTTCCCAGGCCGAAATAAGCTTTTCAATGATTGCGTGACTTGTGCTCTGTTGATCAGCTTGCCAAGGACGATGCGTGAAAGGTGAGACTCCTACTCCCGGATGCAAGAAGTGAAATGCTTCTTAATCGCGTAAATCCAGTTTTCTTTAAGTCTTTCATGATGGTATTCGCTAACAGGGATCCACCGTTGGAGCACATAGTTTATTCCCAAATTCTGTTATTGGGCACATTATCAAGATACACTATTAAATATTCCAAGAAGGGTTACAATTTGGACTTTCTGTTTGAAAACCATATGCTGTAAGTATTTTATTGCGGCACTAGGGTAATAACTAGTGAACTGAGACGAGAACACAGAGAAAAACATCTTTGTAGCCTGAATTACTGTCAAGCATGCGTCGGTGTAATTCCTTTGCGTAGTGGCACAGAAGTGTGCCGTCAGAGATTTTTTCAAAGAAATTGTCGCCTTCCAGATCGCCGGCAGGATCCGAGAAGAGACGAGGCATCCACTCGGCGAGGTCTTCAGCCATTGCCGTCAAAAATTCGTCCCGTTTTTCCATGGTCTGGGCCTCGGAAGCAGATACAGGCAAAGGCCGTGGTATGTATCCCGGTCATTTTGGTTGTCTGAACAGACAACATAGCTACAGTTACCGCACAGCAGTCGATGTGCCAAGAACTGTGCTTGGCAGTAAATGCTCTGCTTTATCACCAGGTGAACGTGCCAATTCTCAATGTCTGAGGAAATAGGAGTGCATAAAACAGTCCAACTACCAATCTGAAACAAACTTTCCCAAATCCACTGGGCTTCGCACTGTGTGGGCGGCTTTAAAATCGGTGTGATGCGTCCCTCCTTACTTGGCTGGAAGAATGTGCCCATGAGAATCATTTCGAGAGTGGAGACATTGAGCGAGTTCATATTTCACTATTCTTTAAGGTGTCAGTGCTCGCAATAAATCCAGGTTGTGAATACCAGTCAGAAAACTGCAGGAGTGACGCATAAACCTGGCAAAAGCGAAAAAAAAACGTATGGGTTTTTGCCTTTTTGCTTAAAAAAGATAATTGTGTTTCAGCGATATTTCTGCTTAGGGAGCTTTCATGTATATTATCAACACTTTAAAGGTGAAATACGGAACCCCTACATTGTTCACAATGTTGATTCTACTTTATGTGCTATTTGATTTGAAAAAGCTTCACGCGACATAATCTAATGCGACAATATTCATTGTTCGCCGAAGGAAAATAATTGCGGACGAATCGCCTTCGTCTGACACATTGTTTTAAGGTGGTATGAGAAACTAAAGGAATTATTTCTCTCAGAGTAGCGAACCTGGTACTCGAATTATGAACAGGCTCCATAGTGGATACTCAGAAGAAAAGGAAATTTTTGAGCCAATAAAAATCGGTCTACGGAGCAGGTAGACGGTGAATAATCTGCAACCTCCGCAGATAAAATGGGCTGATTTTTATGATGCAGCATTAAGTCCCAAGTAAACTTTCTGAACTTGTTGTCAAACTGTCCTATATTTTTTTTGATCTGTTGCCAACAGCAGAGCTTGTCACCATAAATATTAGGAACGCTGGTGCCAAAGGTTATAGAAAAAGCTTGGCCATGAGAGACTTTTGAGTAATTTTTATCCAAAATATGATCAACTATATTATTCCAAAATTTGCTAGAATATTAGGAATTACTACTGATAAAGCGAAAATATTTTCCAAAAGTCCTCTTCTTCGGTAGTATTCGAACGCACGAACTAAAGAGAAGGCTTTGATACAGCCAACTCTATAGCCAAACGAGCTATCAAGGCTCCACTGGGAGCATCGATTTACCCACCCAACCTACTGGAACGTATAGAGTAGACAAATACTGAAACGGTTATATGACTGCCAATAGAGGAGAATATACGAGTTCCAGGCAGCAGTTCCGAAGAAGAAGATGCGATCCAGTGATCGTCTCGTTTCGAATAATGTTAATCTATATGCTGCCCTAATTTATAAAAATGCAAGCCACTTACGCTGCTGCTAATCTTATTCCACCCAGGTGTACATATCATGACAGTTGAGGTAAAAAAATTAAATTGGGTGACCCTGTTGTGTCAGACAAAGCTTTATAACCCTTCCTATTTAAAAAAATAATATTCTTTGATAGTGTTTTTTGTCTTTAAAAATATAATCAAATGTTTCTATTGATAATTAGAAATCTTATGCTGTTCAACATTTCAGAGAAAGATCGCAATGAAAAATCCGATTCTTGGAAGCATGTCAAAAGATGCATGCAAGGGTTTTTATGTTGGTAATTGCGAACACTTACACCGGACGCAGTTGACGTGGAACCGTCAAAAGTGCCGGACTTTCAAACCTCCATCAAATATAGACCTGTAAACATAACTTATTCATGGAAATTTGATTAACGTGGTATGATTAAAGACCACATATTATGAGGGAGGTGTCCGCGAAAAGTATGATGCCGTCGTTTTCGTGCAATTGTGAACGGCTTTGATCGTTTACGTTTATACTAAGCAGTTGCCTGCCCAGCTTTTTGTGCGCAGGCTTAAGTGGGAGGATGC